GAGCTGGCAGTCAGCACAGAGCCCGACGCGGGGCCCGAACCCACGAACCGCGAGATCATGACCCAAGCGAAAGTCGGATGCTTAACCGACTAAGCCACCCAGGCGCCCCATGCTTTATTATATTTTAAAATCACAACCTCAGTACACGCTCACGTACAAGGCAAACAGTAAGAGGTGCTCACAAGAGTTGCTGGGGCCCTTCCTGCCTAGCGCACAGTGCGGTGAACAGTTTGGTGTGCATCCTTGCGCAGCTGTTTCAGATTTGCCTTATTTCTGATCAGCAAAATGGTCCCTGCTGACCTACGACACTGAGGGCTTGTGACCGGTACAGGGGAAGGCTCACTGGGGCTCTCGGGGATGTGAGAGAGGATAAAGCTGCAGGACGCTTTCACCCGACTCAAGAGCATCTTTTAGGGGTTGTATGCCAGTTGTCGTATGATGTGCTGGGGCCCCGGGAGCAAGGGAGCGTCCCTGACATCCAGGAAAATGAGCTCTGACCACAGAGCAGGAACAGTGCCAGAACGGTGCCTGCCCTAAGTTCCCTATGAGCTAGCCGACTGTGTCCATTTCACAGATGGGGAAATCGAGTCTCGGTGAGCTAGATGCAACCCCAGAGGCCTTTTCTCAGTCCTGTCCTGAAATTGTCTTCTTCCGGAAGCTCCCCTGACTCCTCTCCAGACTTCCCAAGCCACACGGCCTAATGGGGGGGGGGGGGCTGTGGGGATGACCCAAGGGAGTTCCTGACACTCCTCTTGGCCCCGATGCAGGTGAGATGCCCCAGGGCAGCCAAGTGCTTCCTTCCGGCGGCCCAGCCTTACACAGCCTTCCCAAGTCCCCAGAACGGCCCGGCTCCACCAGCCCCTTTGCCCCATCTGCGACGGACCTTCCCGGAATGCCGGAACCAGCTCTGACCTCCCGCGCGAATATGACAGGTAAAGACCCTTGGCGGTCCCCGGGAGGGTCCCCGGAAGCAGGATTGAGGCCCGGGGGGAAGGTATCACCCCAATCAGGCCCATGAGCTGAGCTTACCCGTGGAGACAAGCAGGCTGCAATTATGGGTGAAACAAGGCAGGGAGGGTAAGGAGGGGCAGGAGCGGGTATGCGAGGGGGACAGCGGCCTTTAGCTAATCCCCCCCACCCCACCCCCCACAGAAAAGCCGACCCAGCGTGGCCACATCTTCTGAATTGTCTGCAGAATCCGCAAACCCCCATTTCCCCATAGCTCTTGTGATTTTTAAAACAGTGCTGAAATTTTTAACAGTACAGCTGGCTGGAAAAGACCTTTTTGAGTAGGAAACAAGCTTGGGTCACCACCTGATGACCTTTATCTGGGGGATACTCCTCCCCTGTCATTTCTGCCTTTGGGACACTCAGAGGACTGCGTGCCCCGGAAGACGGGGAGTCCCAGGGCACGCCCCTTACCACGACTCTTTCTTCTTCAGAGGAGCAGCTGTCCCCTACCCGATCCCCGGCAGCTCACGAGGTCTCCAGCAAGCTCCCCAAATGGCCTGGTGAGTGCCGGCGGACTCTCCGTGCCCCGGGGGTCCGGACCCACTTCCCTCAGTCGCTCAGCGCTTGGCTTCCTCATTCGATTCTGCCCCTCACTGACACGTGGGTCCTGCTCTCATAAGCCCACGCGGGGTGTTGCCGTCTTGTTTTCGAGGCCGAGGGCATGAATGAGGGAGGGTGGTAATTGGGTGAGTGGGCAAAGGAAGGAGCCGAGTGTGGGGAGGGGGCTGATGGCACGTGGGATGCGAGAATGGCCAAGCGCCCGAGTCTTACACTGTCCCACATACTCCTGTAAACACGGTAGACGTAACCGAATCACCCATGTGACGAACAACCCTAAGGCCATCCCCACTTTGCACGTGAGGACTCTCGGGGCCAGCCCCCCGAGACATAGCAGGCTCTGTAACAGGCTCAAGGTTACACTAAGCATTGGTAGAGCTGGGATCTGAACCAGATACGCAGATTCCATTATCTTAACCCTTCACCCCGCCCCCTGCCCCGTGGCCTTCCACGTGAGTGAGCAAAAGCGGAAGGGGGTTAGTGAGTAAATGAAGGGGGGGGACGGGTAAGCAAGGGAGAAGACAAGTGTGTGAACGCTGGGTGTGGAAGTGAATGAATGAACGCATGATTGATCTCGGCTGTCCCCGCCCGAGCACCCTGCCCCCCAACACACGCACCCCGTTGGGCCTTTGCAGAGCGGGTGGAGAAGTTCCGCAGCTCCCTTCGGGACCGGTACCAGGCTGAGCCCGCAGGCCCGGAAGACATCCTGGTGGAGGTGGAGCTGGTGAGGGCGCGGCTGGAGAGGAGCATCAGCAAGAGCCAGGAGAGGGAGCTGGCCACCCCGGACTGGGCGGAGCGGCAGCCGGCCCGCGGGGGCCTGGCCGAGGTGCTGCTGGCGGCCGGGGACCGCCCGCGGCAGCGGGAGACGCGGGTGGTCGCTGTGCTGGGCAAAGCAGGACAGGGGAAGAGTCGCTGGGCCCGGGAAGTGAGCCGCGCCTGGGCCCGCGGCCAGCTGCCCCAGTACGACTTCGTCTTCGCCTTCCCCTGCCACTGCCTGGACCGTGCGGGGGACGCGTACCGCCTGCGGGACCTGCTCTTCTCCCTGGGCCCGGAGCCGCTGCCGGCGGACGAGGAGGTCTTCAGCTACATCTTGAGGAGGCCCGACCGGGTTCTGCTCATCCTCGACGGCTTCGAGGGCCTCGAAGGCCAAGACGGCCTCCTGCACGCTGCGTGTGCGCCCACGTCCAGCGAGCCCCACTCGGTCCGCGGGCTGCTGGCGGGGCTCTTCCAGCGGAAGCTGCTGCGGGGCTGCACCCTGCTGCTCACGGCCCGGCCCCGGGGCCGCCTGGCCCAGAGCCTGAGCAAGGCCGACGCTCTGTTCGAGGTGACTGGCTTCTCGGCCGAGCAGGCGGAGACCTACCTGACGCGCCACTTAGAGCACGCAGGGGCCCCTGGGCACCGGGAGAAAGCCCTGGAACGCCTCCGGCGGCAGCCCTTCCTCCTCAGCCACAGCCACAGCCCCACGTTGTGCCGGGCCGTGTCCCAGCTGTCCGAGGCCCTGCTGGCGCGGGGCGGCGAGGCGGAGCTGCCCTCCACGCTCACGGGCCTATACGTGGGCCTGCTGGGCCCTGCTGCCCGCGAGGGGCCCCCGGGGGCGCTGGCGGCGCTGGCCAGGCTGGCCTGGGAGCGGGGCCGCAGACACCGGGGCACCCTGCCCGACAGCCAGCTCCCGGCGGCGGACGTGAGGGCCTGGGCGGTGGCCAAGGGCCTGGTGCGGCCCAGCCCGGGGGCCGGGGACACGGAGCTGGCCTTCTCCAGCTTCCTGCTGCAGTGCTTCCTGGGGGCCGTGTGGCTGTCCCTGAGCAGCGACATCAAGGACAAGGAGCTGCCGCAGTACTTGGCTTTGACCCCGAGGAAGAAGAGGCCCTATGACAACTGGCTGGAGGGCGTGCCGCGCTTCCTGGCCGGGCTGTTGTTCCAGCCGCACGGCCGCTGCCTCGGGGCCCTGGTGGGGCCGGCGGCCGCCACCCTGGCGGCCAGGAAGCAGAAGGTGCTCAGCAGGTACCTGCGGCGGCTGCAGCCAGGGACGCTGCCGGCCGGGCGGCTGCTGGAGCTGCTCCACTGTGCCCGTGAGACTTTGGACACCGGGCTCTGGCAGCACGTGGTGCAGGGGCTCCCCGCCCACCTCTCCTTCCTGGGCACCCGGCTCACGCCCCCCAACGCCTATGTGCTGGGCAGCGCCTTGGAGGCGGCCGGCCGAGACTTCTCCCTGGACCTCTGCAGCACTGGCATTGACCCCTCTGGACTGGGGAGCCTCGTGGGACTCAGCTGCGTCACCCGTTTCAGGTGGGGGCCGGGGACGGGCGAGGGGGCTTCCGCTGATGGTTCTGGAGCTGTGCCCCGTGCTGGCTCTGTGGGGTCTCGTTTTGTACGCGTAGTAGCCAGGCAGGGGCAGAGCGATTCCCTCCATTTTTAAGATGAGGAAGTCAAGGCTCAGAGATGGATAGCAGCTCTTGAAGAGCAGCCTGTTCGACCAATATTTGAAGGCCTGCCATGTGCCAGGCACTGGGCCACATTTAGAATCCACGACTGGTCTGGGCTCAAATTTGTTTTCTTCTCTCTTTCCCCTCATCGAGCCACCATTTTTGTCGTGGTTGGATTAAAGCCACAGCCACCCCTTGACCTCCCCGCCTCCGTGCCCTCCTTTTCTATTCCACTTTATATTCAACCATCAGAGCAGTCTTCCCAGAACTCACATCTGATCATACTCCACCCCTTTGATTCCTTAACTTGGCTCCTTTAAATCCTTCAGTGATGTGTTTGATCACTTCAGCCTAAACTGCAGAGAATCTCTCCCACCGTCTGCCTAAAGATACATTACCCAAGCTGTAAGGTCTCAAATCTTGTAGTGGTTTAGCCACGATTTTAGCACTGAGCTTCCTGGTAGCCAAGGCAAAAGGTGAAATAAAACCACTGGGAGAGTGGAGAAAAAGGCGAAATCAATAAGAGCTGGAGAGGTCATGGGGGGCTTCCTGGAGGAAGTAGGGATGAACCTGAGGACAGCAAGTATCTGAATAGGTAGGAGGTCCCTTCATGGAGCTGCCCCTCCGTTATGGTCTAGCCCGGTCCTTGTACCTGGGTCTGAGGCCTTTCCTCCACAGGGCTGCGCTGAGTGACATGGTGGGGTTGTGGGAGTCTCTGCAGCAGCGTGGGGAGGCCAAGCTGCTCCGGGCGGTGGAGCAGAAGTTCACCATCGAGCCCTTCAAGGCCAAGTCCCTGAAGGATGTGGAAGATCTGGGCAACCTCGTACAGATACAGAGGTGAGGAGGATGGCGCGTGAGAGCGGCTCAGGACAGACAAAAGCCTGAGGACAGACAAAAGCCAGGACAGTTCTCAGCCAAAGCCAGCGAGAGAGTCCCTTTTAAGAGAGAGATGCGGAGACGCCTTCTCCATCTGGTAGCAGAATATCAGTGGCTACCTTTCTAGGCACCCCGGGCCCGGATCGTTCCCATTTTATGGATGGCAGAGCACTGAGGTCCAGAGGCAGAGGAAACAATGACAGAATGTTTTCTCATTCTGTCACCATCCATTGTTTGAGCACCTACTATGTGCTCTCCTGGCTGGGTATTGGTAAGCGCCTACCCTGAGGCTCTTTTCCATGAAACCTACAGTAATGCCTTCCTAATGTCCTATTCTGAGGGTTTTTTTCATGTTTATTTATTTATCAATTATGAGAGTGGGGGGGGGGGGAGAGAGGATCTTCCCTGGGCTCTGTGCTGACAGCCGAGAGCCCGATGCAGGGCTTGAACTTATGAACTGTGAGATCATGATCTGAGCAGAAGTCAGACACTTAACCGACTCAGCCACCCAGGCATCCCCTCTGAGGTGTTTCTAACAGAGGACAACAATAGCCCCAAGGAAGGGAGAACTTCTGGGGAATTTGGGGACACGGAGGCAGGCATCTTGAGGTACTGAGGAGCTCAGTGACAGGCGAGGAGCCTGCTCCTTGTTAACATTGCCCGCCTGCTCTCTCCAGGACAAGAAGTTCTTCAGAAGATACGGCAGGAGAACTCCCTGCGGTCCGGGATCTAAAGAAGCTGGAGTTCGCGTAAGCAAGGGAGCGAATCGTCTCGGGTGCCCACGAGGCATCTCAGATCTAGCATTAGCTGGGCCTGTGCCACCGGAATGGAGATGGGTCCCCCAGCTCGTTTCTTTCCTCTGGCCTCGCCCCTCCGGACACCGGCATCCGGCATCTGGAGCCTGGCTGGTCGGGTCTGGGGCTGCAGTTTCTCGGGCGTGAAGCTATGTGGCCCATTTACTGGTGATCATGCTCCTTTCCGTTCATTCACTGGACAGATATACTCAACTGAGCTTGGCTGCTGTCCTCAATGCAGCTGCAGTCTAGTGTAAACAGACAATTATGACCCGCTGTGATCTGTGGCTGTGGCTCAGGGGCTGGGAGTACAGACTTGGGGGAAGGTCCAAGGGGACTTTGCAAGGAAGGTGACTGAAGGCTTGAAGCTTGAGGACAGAGTAGGAAAGAGCCAGGTCGGGAGGCCGTGCAGAATGCAGGTATTGTCACTATGTCCCCATTGTACAGATGAAAACATTGAGGCCTAGAGGGTGTCCACTCTCCAGAGTTACAAAAGTCAGGTCATTCTGGCTCTTGATCCAACAGAGGCAGAAGCTAAATTCATGTGTGATCCTTTAGATCCTTGTAAGGGTCCTAAAACTCACCTCGAATGATTAGGAAGAAATTATTAAACACATACAGTGTCCTCAATGCATGTTGGATGTGATCTGGGAGGTAGTCACGATCTTCCCCATGTTACAGGGGAGGAAACTGAGGCCTAAGGGAGGTTAAGCGACTTGCCCAAGGCCCCCAGCTGGCCAGCCACAAGCTGCCTGCCCCTCCAAGTACTGCTCCCCTGCACCCCAGAAAGAGCCGAGCTTTTCTTGTTTTGAACAGAGACAAGGTGCCACATTTGTGCAGAGCTGGCAATGTTGCTGAAAAGAGGAAATGTATGAAAACAATCACCAAGGGCCCCTTCTGGCTTTGAAGTATTTTCAGCGTAAAAAGCCCCTAGTTCGAGGTTGAAACTGTGCTGTGGGGAACAAGAGCCGTGAAGTGGAACAGCCCAGAACCAGGAGACTAGCCACCTGGAGGCCAGAAGCCACGAGAAAGTTCTGAGGAAGGAAGGAAGGAAGGAAAGGACTATTTCGGGTGTGTGGCCGGCAGCCACGGTGCCAGGTAGCAGGCACACCCCATCGGCCCGGAGATGAGGCCGCTTAGCTGCTCAGTGACCCTTCAGGGGCTCTGGGGGGGGACTCGGCCATTTACATCTCCGCCCTTCAGTTTCCTGGGCTGCCTCCCTCCCTCCCTCCACTCCGGCCTTATGGCCTCCTTGCTGGCTTCCAACCTCCCCAGGCACCGTCCGGCCGCTGGGCCTTTGCACTGCCTGTGTCTTCTGCCCACAATGCTTTTCCCCAGGAATCTGCAACCCCCACACCCTGACTTTCTCATTTCCTCCTGGTTTCCGCCAAGCAGGGCCTTTTCACTCCCATGTGTCAAAGTACAATTTCACCCCCCCTCACTGCCATACTTTCCTCTGTGTTACTTACTATCTCTGCACCAGATAATTTACCGGTTTCTTTGATTATCTGTCTTGCTCCCCCGGACTGTCATCTCCACGAGGGCCAGGAGTTTTGTCTGTTTCGTTCACGGCTCTCTCTGTGACAGGCTCTTACGGGCCTGGTACCCAGCAGACTCGTAATCGATATTTGATGCGTGAATTCCCTAATCCTTCCAACAAGCTCCTGAGACGGGGGCTGAGTCTGAGCAGACGGAGCCGGAGGTGAAGGGATTTGCCCACAAGGCCCCACGGGAGCCAAGCGGTATCACCTGGAGTCCAAATCAGAATTTGGACTACTCTCACCTCGTGACCTTTTATTGAGGAAGGTTCCCAGACTTTGAGATTTCAAAGATGGAGAATTTTTCAGGGTAAATCTGAGCGACTGCGTGGAGTCACCATCGTTTCTTCTTTATTAAGTGTGTTCATTCAAACAAGCAAACATTTTCTCTACAAATGAACATTTTAGGGGCACCTGGGTGGCTCAGTCAGTTAAGGGTCCAACTTTGGCTCAGGTCATGGTCTCACGGTTCGTGGGTTCAAGCCCTGAGTCGGGCTCTGTGCTGACAGCTCAGATTCTGTGTCTCCCTCTCTCTCTCTGCCTTTCCCCTATTCGTGCTCTCTCAGAAAATAAACATTTAAAAAAACAATTTAAAAAAGGAATGAACATTTTAGGACATTTCAGAATCAAAGACCTTTCTTCACATTGAGGACACTTAGCCGTATTTTTTTTTTAATGTTTTTATTTATTTCTAGGAGAGAGAGAGAGACAGCGTGAGCAGGGGAGGGTCAGAGAGAGAGGGAGTCACAGACTGAAACAGGCTCCGGGCTCTGAGCTGGCAGTCAGCACAGAGCCCGACGCGGGGCTCGAACCCACGAACCGCGAGATCATGACCTAAGCGAAAGTCGGACGCTTAACCGACTAAGCCACCCAGGTGCCCCCACTTAATCGCATTTTAAAAGCAGAACAAAACAGCCATCTGGTGGCTTTATGTTTCTCATTCCTTGGAGGTCGGGCGTGGATGTTGAGCCAGGCTGTGAGACCTTGTGGGAATTAGGTAACCTCGCTGTGCCTCGGTTTCCCCATCTGTTAAATGGGGTTAAGAAGCGCCTTTAGCTCAGTCCTTGTGCGGGTGAAATGAAACCTAATCTGAGTGAAGGACCCAGTGCGTGCCTGGCACGTAATAAGTACTCAACAAATGGTTTTATCTGTTAGTAAAATGTAACGGCAAATAAGTAAGCTGTGGTTTTTCAAGACGGGTGGGTCCTCAGGCCAGAGTGTGAGAACCATTTCCCCAGGCCAGGAGCCCAGCTGGCCTGTTGGGGGTGGGGGGCTTTGGAAAGAAAGGGATTGGGTGCCCCCGGGTGTGGGTCAGGGGAGGGAAGGCCCTGGGGAGGCAGGAAGGGGGTGAGACCTCAGGCCTTCTGTGCTGTTTACACCCCACCCTGGCGCCAGATTAAGCGGCTATGGCTGCTTCAGGCTCTTACCTCTGCTCTTTGCCTCCTAGGCTGGGCCCCATCTCAGGCCCCCAGGCTTTTCCCAAACTGGTGAGGATCCTCGAGGCCTTCTCCTCCCTTCAGCATCTGGAGTGAGTATGGAGCCGGGTACCTCCCCTGCGACCTCTGGTTTCAATAACCCCAAGGAAGGTGCGCGGAGAAGGGCTACCTCTGTCTGTCCTTCCCTCTCTCCTGCTGCCTCCTCGGTACGCCCGGCCGGCCCGGTGTGAATGGCCAGAGGCCCCCACTGTGGGGAAGCGAGGAGCGATGAGAATCCCCAGTAATAGAAAAAAGTGGAATCTTGTGAAACTCTTTTCCATCCTCGGTCTCACATGCTGTTCCCGGCATCCCCGTGGGGAGGCAGTGTCGGGGAACAGGAACCCCTTGCACAGTTGTGGTCTCAAGAGGTTAAGGAAGCTGCCAAAGCTCAGGGGGTTCGGGGGTGAGTGGGTGGGGGGCGGGGAGGAATGATTCACTTCCCTGGAGAGTCAGAAGCTTGTCCCCTGGTTGGCCAGCTGGCACACACCCCCCTCCCTGGGCATGAAGACCCGCTCTCAAAAGTCTGCCTGTGGCGTGTCCAAGGAGGGGTGGGAGGTGGGAGGTGGGAGGGGGCTGCTGGCTGATGGCCCCTCCCTCTGATGCCACCTGCAGCCTGGACTCGCTGAGCGAGAACAAGATCGGGGATGAGGGTGTCGAACTGCTGTCGGCCACCTTCCCGCAGCTGAAGGCCCTGGAGACCCTCAAGTGAGTGCTGGGTCTGCCCTTCCTGCCGCGTGTGGCTTTCATGCTCTTTCTCTCCACCCAGCCATTCAGTCATTCACTCGCTCCCGGATGCCATCAAGTGTGTGCTCAGGCGTGTGCTGATTTAATCAGCAAATGCCGCAGGAGCACCTACTATGTGTAGGCCCCATTGGAGGTCCTGGAGGCCCCGCTTCCCAAAGCCCCTGACCTCAGAGGTCTCCTCGTAATCAAGTGAGCAAACAAATCCCTGATTATGAAGTGCAGTGATGAACCTAATTCACGTGTAGGGAGGGAAAATGTTAGGGGGGAGGGGGCGGTGAGAGAGGAAAAACAGACTAAGATCTATCACCAAAACATTACCAAAAGAACAGAGGATCAGAGGATCAGAAGCAGGCTCCGCTAACAGCAGAGAGCCTGACGCGGGGCTCCAACTCACCAACCATGAGATCATGACCTGAGCTGAAGTCAGATGCTTAACCAGCTGGGTCACCCAGGCGCCCCATAAATATTAATTAAAAAAAAAAAACCATCCTGGGTTTTGGGAAGTGGATGGATACAGTGTAGGGGAATCCACATGGTTGTTTACTGGAACCGTCATCCAAGTGGATCCACACTCCGCCTAGGAAGACCCGGGACAGCCTCAGGACTCACTACCGGGTTTCCTTGGATGTAGGGACACGGAGACTTCCCGAGTTATTTATAGGATTCTAGGTAACACTGTGGGGAAGCTGGATCTCCTCCCTGCCCCTCCCCTCCTCCCCTCCCTCCCTCCCCTACCTTTTCTTTCTGTCGCTTCCTCCCCCACTTAAATACTGAGCACCTGTTATGTCACTCGCACCGTTGGCCCAGGGATCAGTAGCGAACAGAACAGACCCGCCAGTAAACTGAATGAACACTCGCTCACTTCCTGTGTGGGGCTGTGGGCGAAGGGGAGAGGATGGTCTCAAACCCTAGAACAGGTGTGGGGGGAGTGTGACCTCTCTCTCCTTCCATCCGCGCCCCCCCCTTCCCACTCAGCCACAGGACGGAACACTATCCCTTTATTGATTGAGTAAGAGCGCACATTGTCCCCAGCGCTGTCCGCAGCCTGTTCTGCATGACGGTCCTCGAGGTAGATGGGCATGTGTTCGGGGCTCGGGGCCACCCTGTGAGGCGCCCGCGGGAAGGAGCGTGCAAGCCTGGCCCTGAGCCCCGCCTGTCCCCACAGCTTGTCCCAGAATAACATCACCGACGCTGGCGCCTGCAAGCTGGCCGAGGCCCTGCCCTCGCTGGCCGCGTCCCTCCTCAGGCTGAGGTGAGTGGGGCCCCTGAGCTGGCCGGCTGGGGGAGGGCCAGAATTCCTGCTTGCATTGCTGTGCAGCTAGGTGCTGGGGGGTCGCCCGAATGTCCATATGAACACAGCCCCCGCAGCGGGGTCAGGCCACCGCCCCCAACAAGTGGACCGCAGGTCCTGGGGGAAAGAGCACCTGGCCAACCGGACAAACGGCTGACTCATGCAGAGAATGTTTGCTCATCTGGGAAATGGGTACCATCCCAACGGCCTATGGGCAGCGCTTGGCGCAGTGCCTGGCTGTGGTGCACAATAAACACTAGTCCTTTCTCCCCAGGGGCTGGCAAGTCTGAGCCTTTGCTGGGCTCCCCGGGGTGCCGGTTTCTAGAAGGCAGCCTTGGCTGGCTCTTGAGGCGCACACAGTGCCTGCACTGCCACCTTCTGGTGGACCGTGGCATAGCACCACTTGCTTTTGATTACTTCCCGCCTGGCTCCCTGATGGCCCCGGGAGTGAGAAGGGGTGGGGGGTGGGGGGTGGGGCTTGGGCCAGAGCCCCAGTCATTCAGCTCAGCCTTGCCATCTCTCTCCTCTCTCAACAGGCTGGGAGGAGCTTCTGGCTCCTTCTTCAGCCCTCACCACCTGCCTAAGACAGCCCAGTCATATTCCCAGGGGAGATGGTATCTGGTTCATCTAGTTATTGACACATCCGTTCTTTATCCTTCCAGCCAGTGTTGCCATGTGCAGCTGTTTTAGTTGTGTATTGTGCAACTTGTAGTCTATGGGACTGGCCCTTCCTAGAGTTGTGCAGAGCATCTAATTACCTCTAATATCAACCACGGGTCAGAACTTCCGCTAGGAACTAGAGATACACTTATGAACAAAGCAGATATGGCTCTTGCCCTCAGGCTTTATGCATAATCAGTAAGTCAGCATATGTACAAATAAAATATTTTAAAATGGTGACTCATGCTGGGAAGGGAACAAACAAGAGCCGGAGAGGGTACAATGGGAGTAGTGAATTCAACCCAGGAGGTCAGGAGACCCTTCCCTTTCTGTGGGAAGCGCTCAGGGAAAAGCATTCCAGAAGGAGGGAACAGAAGATGCAAAGGACTTGAGGTAGGAAAGAGTTCGAGTCTTTGCCAAAAGGGCCACTGTGACTGGCTACAGGGAATGAGGGACAGAGGGGGGGGGGCGATGAGGTGCGAGGGGTAGGGGAGGCCAGATTGTGCAGGGAGGCCCTCGGAGGTCAGAAGCGGGCTTTTGGTGGGGCACAGAGGGGCAATCTCTGCTCTGACCGCCACTTTATGAAACCTCATACTTTATGCAATCTAAGATGCCATCCACTGTAAGACACCATTTAGAGGACAAGACACTGCTAATTAAACATTGATTATCAAACACATCCTGATCTCAGTGATATTCAGATATGAACCTGCACATCTTGGCATCAGTGAAATATGGGAAGGATCCTCTGTCTTTGGGCAGACGGGGAATCTCCTGGGTCCTAAGACCCACCCCAGGAAGAAACTGCAAAGCCTCCGCCTGTTTCCTCCCCCGCTACCTGGCCATGCTGTGACATCTGGGGATGCTGGAGCTTAGCCTGAATCCACTTTGCTGCAGTGTAGACCTGCTGCTTTTACATGCATCTCTGCGGTCTGGCCCTGAGGCCGAGTCATGGCAAAGGCATGGCCTTGAAATGAGAACCAAGGCAGACCTGGCTTGTTAAAAAAACGACTGTTGAGGGGCGCCTGGGTGGCTTAGTCGGTTAAGCGTCCGACTTTCGCTTAGGTCATGATCTCGTGGTTCGTGGGTTCGAGCCCCACATCAGGCTCTGTGCTGACTGCCAGCTCAGAGCCTGGAGCCTGTTTCAGTCTGTGACTCCCTCTCTCTCTGACCCTCCCCTGCTCACGCTATCTCTCTCTCTCTCCTAGAAATAAATAAAACATTAAAAAAAAAAAAAGGTTTTTAAAAAAAACGACTGTTGATGAGTGTACAGCTTCTGTTGTCACCGGGGACACCTGTCGTGTTGTTTACCAGCTGGGGGCACGCCCCAGAAACCCGAGCTGGCCCAGTGGGTCTGAGTTTTCCTGTCCCCTATGATCCCCAGAGCTAGTCACGCCATCCACGGTAACTCATATCACCCTCAGCGCCCCCAGCCCTAGACATAGTAATAACCACAGCTAGTATCAAGTTCATTCCAACCGCCTGTCCTGTTCTGGGTATTGTAGCATCAGCCACTCATTTATGCCTCCCCACAATTACTCATTTCTGTTTTATGGAGGAGCAAATTGAGTCACAGAGGAGTTAAGTCATTTGCCAAAGGTCACACAGGCAGCAAGCCCCGATGCTGGGATTTGACCTTGGGAAGTCTCAGCCAGGAAGCTACTTCCACTAAAATCCTGTGTTGCTTCTCTGGACTCACAGTGTGACTCCGGAGGAGGAGCCTCAGCTCTCTGGGCCTCAGTTTGCCCCTCCGTAAAATGGGGCAGAAATCTGGCTGGGGGTGGATCCCCATGGGCTCTGACCTCACGGCACTCTCCCCCCCTGCCCTGCCCTCTGTTTCTGGCAGCCTGTATAATAACTGCATCTGTGACACGGGAGCCGAGAGCCTGGCGCACGCGCTTCCAGACATGGTGTCTCTACGGGTTTTGGAGTGAGTGCGGAAGCCTGGGCAGTGGGGTGGCGGGTCCAGGGTTTGGGGGGCGGGGCTGCGGGCTGAGGTCTGGTTGTTGGGATCCTGGAGGTCTGGGGCTGGATGGCCCCGACCGAGGGCCAGGCCCTAGGACAGGTTTCTCTCCCCAGTGTCCAGTATAACAAGTTCACAGCCGCAGGAGCCCAGCAGCTGGCCGCCAGCCTGAGAAAGTGCCCTCACATGGAGACGCTGGAGTAAGTATCAGGCCCAGGTGGGCAGAGAGCCCCCAGCCCTCCTGTGGGCCCTGAGCTCAAATCCCACTGTGGCCCTCAGTGGGACCTGGCCTCAGTCTCTTTGTCTGTAAAATGGGAGTGATACAATATTTACCCTCAAGCAGCTTTTTGAGGTTTAAATTAACCTAGGTGTATAAAGCACTTAGAACAGTGCCTGGCACCTGAAAATGCTAAATCCATTAGGGTGAACGTTATGAAGCCATTCGTATTCTATTATTTTGGACCTGGAAAATGTGGCAGTTTGGTTCAAACTTATGTAATGTTTTGTCACCATGGTGTCTGATGTCCAGTATCAGTACTTTATGCTTTTCCAAGGCACTTAAGCTACATAATCACTCCGATCTTCTAGGGTAGATCCTAAAAGACCCATTTTACAGATGAGGAGAATGAGGTCCAGAGAGGCTAACTGACCTTTTTGGGGTCACACCGCAAGTAGGTAGCAGAACCAGGTGTAAAGAAAGGGGTCTCAGGGCTCCTAGACATCTGCTGTCCTCACGCCCTCTCGCATGTCTGGTTCTGCCGGGTGGGAAGTCTCCCAGCGTCTAGGCTGGGTGGCAGGAGGGAATTGGGGGCGGCTTGCAGAGGGGACTCCAGGCCCCCGTCTCTGCTCTAACCGGGCCCCTGCCTGCCACGCCCCTGCAGGATGTGGACGCCCACCATCCCGTTCGGCGTCCATGAACACCTGCAGCAGCTGGACCCGCGGATCAGCCTCAAGTGATCCCCGCGATGCCCGGGACAAAGTGACTGAGGTGCGCTTGGGCGGGGAAAGCCGCTGCTGGGATCAGTGTGCTGTGACGTCAGTCAGGATCCCTAGAAGGGACGACAGGGGTGGCAGGGGGGAGCTCTACCCCGCACCACCTGGGGCCTCCCCCTGCAATTGGTGGAGGGGTCTTTAAAGGCTTTGGGGACTTGGGCTCGGAGCATCCTCCCTGTGGCCAGGCGTGGGGAGGCGCGGGGAGGCAGGGGCAGGGTGTGGGGGCAGCAGTCCACGGCCCACAGCCCTGAGCGTTGACAAGAGTTTCTGGGCGTCCCCAAGCCACCCCGGCTGCTTCAGCCTGCTGGCTGTCCTGCAATGTCTTCACAGGCATTTGGTCTACAAGTTTTTGTGCAAATGACTGTCCCCTCACTTCTGCGCTCCCCCAAGCTGTGATGTCCCCCTCCTCCATCTCCACCTTGTCCCCACTCTTTTTTAAAAAAAAAATTTTTAATGGTTTATTTGTTTTTGAGAGAGAGAGAGAGAGAGAGAGAGACAACGTGAGCAGGGGAGGGTCAGAGAGACAGGGAGACACAGAATCTGAAGCAGGCTCCAGGCTCTGAGCTGTCAGCACAGAGCCCGACGCGGGGCTCGAACTCATGAACTGTGAGCTCATGACCTGAGCCAAAGTCGGACATTTAACCGACTGAGCCGCCCAGGCGCCCCCTCAATCTTGACAGCACCCTACCCAGGGTCAAGCTGCTCCCCCAAGCTTTCTGACCTACTCCTTCTGGCCTCTCACAGCACGTTCTCTGAGGACGCTGACCACGCGGGACCTTGAACTGGTGGTCTGTGGACACAGTTCTTCTCGGGCCACCGCCTGTGAGCCTCAGCATCGTGGCGCCCAGCCCTGCCGGCTCAGGGCCGGCCCCCACCCAGCTGTGGGAAGGCCCGTGGCCTGCTCTGCGGACGGACCCAGGCCCGGCTCCAGGCTACCGAGGGGCCCAGGTTGATGCCTGCCCTGACAGATGGGGACGGGACTGGTGGTGGCCGCCGTCCACCCAGGAGCCCTGAGGCGTTCCCTGCGGGACGCTCCCGGCAGCCCTGGCCAGGCCAGAGGAGGCGGCCACGTCTGCCTCCCCAGGTGCCCGTCAGCCTAGGGAGAAGTCACTTCTCTGCGCTGCTCTCCTACCCTGGCGGGTCCCAGCGGCCAGCCCCGCCTGCCGAATGCCCTGTGACAGGCCGGGGTTCTGTGCAGCTGCTTTCTGTCTGCCGGACTCACTGTTTTGCACTAACTTTGTCGAGGCCAAAGCTCGGCCTGGCCAGACACAATGGACTTGAGCTGGAAAGAGCTGACCGTGCACTAATGGTGGGGGGAGGGGGCTGGGCTGGAACCACACCTCCTGCCTCTTGGCCTTCATTATTTGGGTCATTTTTTTCACTACAGTATAAAGGGCTTGTTTCATCTCATGGGCGTGCCCATGGCTTGAGTTTATACCATGATCGCCGTTTCGGGGTGCCCACTGTTCGGTCGTCTGAATGCATCACAAACTACCCCAAAATGCAGCAGGTGAAAACAGCACACATGTTTACTCTGCTCACACGTCTGTCCTGTGGGCTGGGCTGGGGGGGGGGCACAGCTCAGTGCCAGCTGGGCCAGCTTGGAGACTGAGGCGGCAGCATTTGAAGGCCTGGGCACTCCGTGCTGGCTGGGGGGCGGGGGGGCGGGGGGCTGGGGCCTGGGTTCCCCTCAGAAACTGACAGAGGAGGGCCTCTCTACTCGGACTGCTTTGGGCTGCCTCTCAGCACGGTGGCTGGGTTGAAGGGCGATCACCCAAAACGGAAGGAGGAGGCAGAGACAGAAACGGGGACAGGGGACAGACCACAGAGAGAAGCATTCTTTTGATAACCCAGCTCCGCCCCTCCACCCACTCCCCCCCCCCCCCCCCCCCCCGCCCCCCAGCAGAATCCACCTTGGCCCTAAGTCTCTTTGGAAAGGATCTTTCTGTCACACTTCATTATTTGGGGATCAGTAAGGTTGGGGCACCGTCAGCCTGACAGAGCTGATGTTTTTCTCTGCCCTCTGCTGGGAGCCCTTCCTCAGTCAGCCTGCACTCCTGCCTTGGCCGCGGTGAGCCTGGAAGGGACTGGAAGCTTTGCCGTCTACACAGAGTGCTGCCAGCTGGGCTCCTGTTGCTTTTTTTGCGGGAGTGTGACCCACTTGGTCGCAAGTCCTGATTCAGGATAAGCCTGCTTTCTTCTGGTGGCAGTGGGAGCATGTGTGTTCAGCCTGGGGCCCAACTCTCTGTTTCCCACGGGGGAGGCAGGCGGGAGTCAGGAAGGTCGGAGGGATTCGGTCCTTGCAAAGAGGTGGATGCCTTTTTTTCTCGGCCTAGCTGCAGAGAACACGGGGCGTTGGTTTTTCGTTTCCTTTTAATTTTTAATGTTTTTTTTTTTTTAGCTTATTTTTGAGAGAGAGGGTGAGAGCAGGGGAGGGACAGAGACGGGGGAGACAAAGGATCCTACGCACGATCTGTGCTGATGCAGGGGCTTGGGCTCACGAACTGTGAATCATGGCCTGAGCGGAAGTCGGGTGCTCAACCGGCTGAACTGCCCAGGCATCCCCAGGGTTGGGTTTTAAATAGCTTGGGGATCACTTCTCTGGGGGTCCTCGCCTTTGTGGATTGTGTGCCGTCCAGGGGCTCCCATTTGTGCAGCCACAGGGGTGAGCACTGAACCAGCCCCCCAACCCCCAACCAAGTGCAGGGCTCCTAACTGGCACCCTTCAGCTGGGCGGGGAGGGCACCGTCATACCCACTGCTTTCCGTCTGTTCAGAGATGACACAACTCCCATCAGAGGCTGTGATTATTTGCCGTTCGAACTTGAATGACAGCTGCCATTGATTAAATGAGCTGACCCATGTGAAGTGCTTATCACTGCGCCAGGGATATAGTAAGTGTTCAATAAATATCAGGAACCATCACTTTGCAATAGTACTATGTGAAACCCTTCCTGCTCAAAGGGACCAAGGTCTACGGCCAGCAGCACAGACCCCAGGGCTAGACTGCTTGGGCTCAGTGCCCAGCTCACCACTTGTGCAGATTACTTCTCTGTGCCTCAGCCTCATCATATGAAAAATGGGCCTAATTACTGTATCTTCTTCATGGGGTTATGCAGAGATCCTGTGAGCTAATAGGCTGAACACAAGAGCTCAATACTCACTAGTTGTCCCTATTACGTAGGAATGTGTGTTTTGTTCCTGCCTCTGCCTGGAATGTTCCTCCAGGCTCTTCATAAGGGACAACTTCTGATCCCGTAGGACTCAGTTTAAAGGACAGCAGCTGTGCAGGAAAGGCCGCCCAGACCACCCTATTCAATAGACAGCCTCACGCCCACTCTCTAAAATGGTCTCTAGTTTCTTTTTGGCAGATATTTATTGTGTTGTCTGCTATTGTTCTGGGATATGAGCTCCAGTAAGGCAGGTCCCCTGTCTGCTTTGTTTATTGCTCTGTCCTCTGTACCCAGCAAGGTGCCTGAACATAGTAAGTGCTCAATAAATGTTTGTGGAATGAATGATCCTCACCGCTTTGCTTTATACATTCTGCAAATATGTGCTAAGGACACGGTGGTGTACTCCGTAAAGTGCTCATGGTTCCTGCTCTGGGAAGTCTTGTATCTAGTCAATTAAAAAAACTCCCTGGGTAGGGCTGCCTGGTGTGGTTGGGTGGTCTGTGCACTGCACAAAGGCACCTGGACGAGGGGGCATGTGGGGGCTGCAAGCCAATGTGGGCTCTGCTTGCCAAAAGCTGCGAGTCCTAATGCGGAGCTGTGACAGCCCAGTGGGGCACCTTTGTAATGAGCACCAAGTCATCTTAGGAGGTATGTAAATTACTGTCCCCATTTCAAGGAGGTGACTTGCCTAAGGCCACGCCCCTCTAGAGGAGGGAGTCAGGATGCAAACTTGCCTTCTCAGTTTCGGTTTCCGAGGGGGAGTCGGGTGCCCACAGGCACTGGCACAGCATGCTAGAGCTGCTCTCCGGGCACCATTTGCTGGGTGGGAGAAGCGACACCCGGGGGAGCCAGGGCATCTGTCTGGAGTCAGGCTGTACGTTGACGGAGGATTCCATGGTTTGCTGCATCTTTTGCATAAATCCTCAGCTCTCCCCTCAGGCCTCTCTCCCAACAAAACCATCTCCCTTCGCACCCTCACCTCTCTCCTTGGGCCTCTCCAATCTGTCCCGTCCACCTTCCCTGGCGCCCTTTCTCAGAAGCTCTGGGAGACAGGGGGCGCCGCAGCTGCCTTTTCCCCGGAGGTCTGTGGGGGGCGGGGGCCTGACCCTCCCTCACCAGTGTCCTCACCCACACAATGGAGCCAAAGGCGGTACCTTTGTTTTGACACGCTGTGCACATGACGGTGCCTCCTCCTTCCCTCCCTCGCGGGTTCCCTCGTCCCTAACAGAGGTCTCCCGTTGGACTCTGGGATGGGGCCACCATGCCCTGCAGGCTGGCCCCGGCCCCTCGACCTTGACTCCCACGCCAGCCCAGCCTGGCCTGTTGGGTCCCAAGCTGGGGAAGCCTGGACTCTTCTGTCCAGGTGTCAAGCAGGGTCAAGGGTCCTACATAAGAGCTCTTTTCCAGATCTCAAAGAAAATAAAAACAGGCAAAGGCCCCCACGGGCTGGAGTTAGTTGCGTACATTTTTTAATTGAAAGAAGTCAGCTTCCTAAGTATTGCTTTCACAGGCTTATCGACATCAAGTATTCCTGCCACTCCCATTTTCAAAACTATTTCTGGCCAGTGGAGCAGCGAGGCGCTCCCCCGCCATGATGTATCAGTACTGGCACCTTTTTTGCAGAACGAGTAACTTGAAATGAGTAAGTTGGACCGAGCCTCAGCCCCCGCCGCGTCCCTTGGCCTCTTTCCCCTCTGACTTACTCCCTGACATGGTCACTGCATCTAAGACCAGCCTCGGGGCCAAATCCGGCCGGGCCTGGGGCTCCGCTGGCCTTGACCGGGAGCCGCGAGCGGCTTTCGCAGCAAGTCGTGTCGTGTCCGCAGCGTGAAGCATCCTGGCGGGAGACGGGGTGTGGAGAAGCAGGAGCCGGCAGGGGTGAAGAGGGTGAAGAGCGGGGAGGCAGACTCTGGCTGGGTTCCTGTAAACATCCGTCGCTGCTGCTGCGAAAGGGCGAAAGGACGGAAGCCAAGGCAAGGCCGCTTGTGCGACACTGTGGGCGGGCGGGGAGGTCTCCGGCCGCCCCTGCCTTTCCCAGAGGGGAGAGGGGACAGGGGCACAGGCCTTCTGGGCCTTGGCTCTCAGTCTCCATCTCTCTGCCCCTCTCTGCCAGGTCCGGACGGAAACCTCTCTGTTGGCACGGAGCTCTTGGGGGAAGCAGGCCTAACGAGAAGGGAAAAGGGGTGTTACTGGCACAGAAGCATGGTCCCGCCACCCGCACCCCTGCTTCGTGGTACATCAGGACCCAACCTCCAGGCCCCGGCAGGGGACAGGGAGGCCTCCCTCCATCTTTTGCCTTCAGAACCATCAGAAGCCCCAGACTCGGGCTGGGGGGTGTTTTCCTACAACTTTTACTAATAGATAAACATCAAAAAAAAAAAAAGCATTTTTGAGAGAGCGAGGGAGAAAGCATGTAGGAGGGTCAGAGAGAGAGAGACACACAGAATCTGAAGCAGGCTCCAGGCTCTGAGCTGTCAGCACAGAGCCCGATGTGGGGCTCGAACCCACAAACCGTGAGATCATGACCTGAGCCTAAGTCGGCTGCTTAATATACTGAGCCATCCAGGAGCCCCATTACTAATAACTTCTTAGAAGTAAGTTTGCCTCATTTCTAAGGAGCCTGGACTGGAGACCCAGCGCAGTGTCACTTTGGAGAGGAGGGACTGTCCATCCTGGGAGGGGGGAGGGGGGAGGGGGCCCAAGGAAGGACGGCAGCCTGCTCAGGGGTCACCCGGGGCCTGTGGCCCACCTGAGCCCCATGGGGGTAGTGGGCGGGGCTCGGCAGCGCCTCCCGCCCCGCCTGGAAAACGCTTTGCAGGCTCTGGGAAGGATGTGGCTGTGGCCAAGCTACTCAGCAGCCCCGCTGGGCTCGTCCTCCGAGGACATGGCATCATGCTCGCGGCCAGGCCCCTCGGCTGGTCCCCGTTTCCCGTAGCCTTCTCTTTCTGCGTCCGGCAGGGTGCCGCGTCTCTGCGACATCTTCTACTCCCTGCTTCCTCGCCTGCCCCGGTTCTGTGCCTCATCTCTGCCAGCTCAGACCATGCCTCCTGCAAATGTCGTCACACATCAGACAAACCTACGCGAAACACACGGCACGGACGGTTGTTCACAGACATTGGGGGCGTCACTGTCCTCTGAGGTGGCGGGGGGGCGGCGGGGGGGGGGCGTTCTGGGCACTTAAGGACCATCGGCAGCATCCCTGGTCCCTGAGCACTAAATGCTGGTAACGCCCCCGGGCTCGGTGACAACTAAAAATGTACCCTGGCCCCGTTCCCAAGGGCCACTGAGGGGACAGAACCGCCTTCACCGAGAACCACGCATCTCCTCAAGGTTCAGAGAAGCCAAGGGACCTGCGCCTCAGTCGCACAGCTGTTCTGTTACAACAGAAACAATCACCGGGGCGCCTGGGCGGCTCAGTCGCTTAAGCGTCCGACTTCGGCTTGGGTCATGATCTCGCAGTTCGGGAGTTTGAGTCCCACATCGGGCTCTGTGCTGACAGCTCGGAGCCTGGAGCCTGCTTCAGATTCAGGGTTTCCTTCTCTCTCTGCCCCTCCCCCGCTCACGCTCTCTTTCTCAAAAATAAATAAACATTAAAAAAAAAAAAAGAGAGAGAGAAACAATCACAATCAGGCAGCTAATGACTTCCTGAGGTTTTCCTAAGGGCCGTGAGCCCAGGCCGGAGGCTGCAGGTCCCTTGCCCTGTTCCCTCCACTCACCCCTCTGAGGCACGCAGACCGGGTGCAAAGACCTGCCTCTTTGCCCGAGGGCTGCCCTGTGTGTCCCGGATGTAAGTACAGGCAAGGCCAATATCTCCCCAGGCAAAGCAAGGTCTCCCTGGAGCTGCCTCCCTACGAGCGATGACCAGGACAGTGGCAGGTCACAGCCTGGCTCCTGCACTCCGCAGCTGAGACGACTGAAGCCTATTAGCCCCCACACTGGCCCCCAGAGTCCCTGAGCAGGACTGAGCCCAGGTCCGCAGTGGTGGCATAACCCTTCCCTGACTCACCGACCCACGCCCTTCTGGTAGTTCCTGCGATCGTCTCCCGAATAAACGACTTGCCCTTGAATCTTTGTCCCAGGGCCCCCTCCTGGGAGAGCATGCCGGAGAAGGCCAGTGGCACAGGTCATTTCACTCGGCCCGCCTAACAACTCCCGGGACGACGCGCTGTTAGGTTCCATTTCACAGAGGAAGACACTGGGCTTCGGGGACGGCAAGTAACTTGTCCGGCACGCTCAAGTTCTCCAGGGCCGCATGCCACTGGGGATTTTCAGCCCTGCCTAATTTCACACAGCCGGTGTGCTGGGTCCTGAGCTGGGTGCTGGGGGCCCAGCGATAAATGCAGTCGTGCCCTTGATGGAGGGCACGGAGGCTGGAGACAGGACGGAGCACAGGTGACAGATGGAGCCCAGAGTCTGGGGAAGGCTGTGCACGGAGAACATGCCAGGTGGAGGGCGGGCTCGCGACGAGGGCCTGCATCCCCCCCTCCGCCCCGTTCGCGTGGGGTGGGGGACAGAAGGCAAGCCTTGGTGGAGAGTGGGGGAGGGGCCAAATCTACAAAGTTTCTCGCGTCCTCTGTCAGGTTGGAGAGGCCAGCCGGGAACACATCCTTGCACAGCTCTGAGACCTTCCCTGGCCTCCACTCACTGATGACGCAGGCTGAGTCCTTGCGTCCTGGCTCCCACCCCACCTCCCCACTGGGGCTGGCTTGGGGAGGGGAAGCCAGGGCTGTGGCCAGAGCCCTGGCGAGCCCAGCCGTCTAGAGAGGTGTCCACGGCCTCCCCTCCGTCCGAGGAGCCTCTGGGGTTCCCTGTGGGGGCCAGTGGGGGGGTTCCTGAGAGCAGAGCTCCCTGCAGAGCCCTCCAAGGCCGGGGATCACACTTACGCCCACTTCAGGCTTGTGTGGACAGCATGTCAGAGAAGAGAGTCCCCGGAATGGGGCCTCGCTCCTCTCCCAGTCCTGGTCACCACCACCAGCACTGAGACGGAACCCAGGCCAGCGGCGGTCTGGCTGGACCGTGTGTCTCACACGCTGATCTCCCATCCGAGGAGGCCCAGGGCTCCAGCTGCATTCACCACTGCCCTGCGCCATCTGCAGGGCCACCTTCTATTTATGGGAAGGGAGGCTGGGTTTCCACTTCTGATAGGAAGACAAAGGTCCCGTCTTTTCAGAACATGACTTCACTTGAAAAAGAGCTCCTTTGAAAAAAACAAGGACACAAAGAACAGTCCAGGCAACAGGGCAGAAAATTGTTGACGGTGTCACATGGGGTCTCAGAGACCCTGATCGGAGTGGGTGACACTCATTCCACACAGGGCCCAGAGAGGGTGGTGAGCTGCCCTAAGCCACACAGCAAGCTGAGGGCAGCCCGGGTCTCTGTGTCCTCTGGAGGCACACTCACTGGTGCCACGACGAGAGATCAGTCCCCTTGTCCTTTACCTTGCGAGTCTGGCCTCACAGTGAACCCCTCACTGAGAACCCTGAGAACGCCAACAGCAGGTGGGACTTCTCAGGCACTCTACGCTCACCTTGTGCTACATGCTTTAACTCCTGTCCTGGCTCATTTCCACCCCAGAACCACCTTGGGAGGTGGGGCCAAGCAGGCCCATCATCCGGAACTTCAGGTGGGGCTCAGAAAGGGTCAGCAATTTGGTCAGGGCCACACAGCCTGCGAGGGGCAGAACCGGGACTTGAACCTTCCCTCCGTGGTCTGATCTCAGGTTCATTCCTCTCTTGTTCTGGGGCATCGAAAGCCGTGGCTTGCAGAATCCAAGCCAGTGGGTTCTCCAGGCTTCTAGTATCTTTAGTGCATGAAAGACAATTCATTGGCCAGAGTGGCTTTTTGGTTTTTTCTTCCTCCTTTCTGAAGCTGTAACCTTTCATCCTGTGCTCCTCCCTAGAAATGGACAGAGGGAGTGGCCAGCTGACTGGTTTGTCATGGAGAAGGACGGCTGGGCCCTCGAGCCATTTTAAGATGCGACGTGTCAGCCCAGTACCTCGGTGGAGAAGCTGCCTAGTAGTCTGGCATTTGGCTTCAGTGAGAAAAAGACACCCTTGTGTCTTAAGGGGCTGGTGGGGCAACGCCCTGGGCGTGCTGAGTGAGCAGAGATTTCTCTTCTACAGGTCGGCCGTCCCAAGGGGCAGCTGGCAGCCGGGGCAAGGCCCATCTATAATTCAGGCTCTGCCCTGCCTAGCTATGTGTCCTCAGGCAAATTACTGAGTCTCTCTGGTCCTATTCTTTTGAAACAAGAGAGCAGTGCCTACTTCACTGGACTGTTTGTTGTGAGGATTAGATGAAATCACATTGGTGGCAGGACTACAATGCACGAGGCGCCCGTAAGTAGCCCCCCCCCCCCCAGCTAAAGCACACAGGCGGGGCTGCTCCTCAGTGTTGGGGGCCTTCTGCAAACGGTAGCCCTGTCGCCCTCCAAGGACCCCGCGGGCTGGAAGCCCACTGCTCGCTCTTCTCTCTCTGCTCTCTCCATGTACCAACTGGCCACTTAAAGCGGACACGGACAGATGTCACCTCGAGCCCGTGTGCCCCGCGTCTCAGCTGTCGTCTCAGGGATGGGCCGTGCAGCGGAAGGACGTCTGCCTTGTCTGGGCCAAGAGCTCACGGCCAGAAGGAGCTGGGCAAGGAGAGGCCGCCTGGGTCCGCGTCCCGATGGAAGCCAGCGTCCTGGAGAAGCAGGGGCCGGTGTGTCCAGCCCAGGTCTGGCTCACGTGCCAGGTGCTGACACCCATCGGTTGTCGGTTTGGTGGAGATTCCTGGTCCAGAAGGGGTCTCCAGAGGCTCGGTCCTAAGACACGGCAGCTTTTGCCCTGGAGTCTGGCCCTGAGAACTGCCCGGAGAATTATTTATTTAGTATTTTAAATCAATGCACTTTTTTTTTTTTTAAAGGGAACTTTACGTCACTTTCATGAATAAAACAGACTATCACTCATCATCAACAGAAGGCAATGCAAGAAACAAACGATGCGCAGAAAACCATTAGTTCTAGCCAGATACCCCTGGCTTGTGAAACAGCCTCGGCCTGGCCTCTGGTTGGGGGAAAAGGGAAAAGTAGCAAGTGCCCAGGAGTGACAGAGGACCTCCATTGAGGAGGCACTGGGAGCGAGGCTATGGGTCCCAACTGGCCACCTCACAGCTGGGTATCTGTGGTG